AAGGGAAAAAAAAAAACACAGGGACGAAAAAAAAAAAAAAAAAAAAAAAAAAAAAAAAAGCACTTTCGCCGTCCGCGCATCAACACGGACCGGCTAGGTCAGGCTCGGTGCTGTACCTGTCAGTCCTCACTCAACGCTCTTCCATCAGCGACGCCTCCTTCACCGGCAACGACGGTGTCACGATCCAGACCGACTCGCCGATAGACTGGGACTGCCGCTTGGGCAGCTGGATGCCGACCGAGGGCGCCTTGAAGGGCGACGTCAACGCTCCCGAGTGCTACCTTTGCCCCGCTGGCTACTTTGGGAACACGAGCGGCCTCACCACATCCTTCTGCAGCGGCCAGTGCACCAGGGGCCACTATTGCGAAAAGGGTACCGCCGACCCTCAGCCCTGCCCTCCCGGTCGACACTCGCCAGTCATCGGGGCGCCCAGCCAGGAATTTTGCCTCCGTTGCGCCCCCGGCCAGCACCAGCCCCTCTCAGCCCAAGCGCAATGCCTCATCTGCCCCGCCGGCTCCTTCTCTCCCGACGTCGGCCTCTCCGCCTGCGACCCTTGCCCGCGCGGAGGCTACTGCGAGGAGGCTGGCGCCGCCACACGCATGGTCTGGGAGCCCTGTCCCGCGGGCAGCTTCAACCCGGCCAACGGTTCCAGCTCGAGCGCCGCGTGCGAGCTCTGTCCCGCCGGCACCGCGAGCGCAACACAGGGTGCGGAAAGCAGCGACACGTGCGCGCCGTGCGCTCCGGGTAGCATCGCCCCCTCGGCCAACATGTCCGCGTGCAAGCCGTGCCCCAAAGGCAATTACGCAGCCTCCACCACCGCGTGTGAGGAGTGCGAGGCGGGCAGCTACGCGGCGAGCGGGGGCCTCTCGCAGTGCACTCTCTGCCCCCACCCCCTCAGCTCCAAGAGCGGCGACGTCACCTGCTCCATCTGCAAGGAGGGCTTCTACTTGAAGGACTCGAGCGCCGATCCAGACGACATCTTTGAGAACCCGACCGAGCACTGCAGGCCGTGCCCGCCCAACGCCAACTGCAGCGCCGGCACCGCTCTCGCGTCCCTCGGCGTGGGCGCCGGCTACTGGCGCGCCTCCAACGCCACCTCGGAGCTCCACCGCTGTGACTCAGAGACATGTGCTGGTGGCTCCGGCCAGCCCTCCCACGGCCGCCGCCTCACCGACGGAGATGACGACCCCTACTGCACCGCCGGCCACACCGGGCCGCTCTGCGAGGTTTGCGTCGCGGACTCGGACTACTTTAGCTCTGCCGAGGGGCGCTGCGTCGCCTGCCCCTCGACGGCTCGCTCCGCCGGCGTTCTTGCCATATTTGCCATCGTCATCGCAGCGCTCGCTGCCGCCTACGCTCGGCTCCGCCACCTCCCCTTCTCCCGCCGCCTCCGGAGGCGGGCCACCCGCATCGAGTCCGCGGTCGGCCTGCAGCCCAAGTTCAAGGTCTTCGTCAGCTTCTACCAGGTGAGCAGCGCCCTCGGCCTCGTCTACGGCGTCCGCCTCCACGGGCGCTTTACGCGCTGGCTCGACGTGCTCAAGCTGTTCAGCCTGGACCTGTTTGACGTTGCCATCCCCGGCCCCTGCATCGGAGCCATGAGCACGCGGCTGCTCGTCGCGGGCACCTGGCCGTACGGCGCTGTCGCCTTCGTGTCGCTCGCCATTGTGGCGGCGGCGGTACTCAATGTCAAGCAGAAGCAGGCATTCGACCGCCAGCTGCTCGGCCGCCTCCTTTACTGGGCGATCTTCATCTTCTACCTCGTGCTTCCCTCCGTCTCGCGCTCCATCTTCAGTGCGAGGCTGTGCGAGTCCTTTCGCTACGACGACGCGACAGGCCAGCGCATCAGCTACCTGCTTGCCGACCTGGCGCTCACGTGCGATGCCGGCCCGACGTGGGAAGACGAGACTGTGAGGGGACTCGCGCCGTACTTTTGGGCCTACTTCGCTCTCTGGCCCGTCCTCGTGCCGCTCGGCTTCTTGGCACTGCTGCTCCGCGTCCGCAAGCCCGTGGCTGCGCAGCGCGCAACGCCGCTCTCTCGTGCGACGAGCTTCCTCTGGCGGGACTACTCTGCCCGCTTCCTCTTCTGGGAGGTGTTCGACCTGTTCCGCAAGATCTTCCTCACCTCGATGGTGCTCTTCATCGACCACGAGTACGGCGCGAGGAAGTTGCTGCGCACCGTGGTCGCCGCCATCGTCTCGGCCATGTTTCTCACCATTCTCGCGCTCGCCCGCCCCTACCGGCGCTTCGACGACCTCTGCCTCGCGTGCATCGCCAACTTGCTGCTTACCTGCTGCTTCGCGTCGGGAGTGGTCATCCAGGTCCGCGATGGCAATTCCTCGCGCTCCCTCGCGCTCCCCCACGCTCCCTCTTGACTTCCGCAACCTCACACCACCCGCCCCCCGCCACCGCAGCTCTGCGACAGCACCGTGCACGAAGACATGTGCTACGAACTCGTTGGCTACAAGACCTCGCGCGGCGCCACCACCTTTGCCGTCGCCCTCACCGCAGTCATGCTCGCCGTCTCGCTAGCCGTCATCCTCATATCGGCGGTCAGCGCCTCGAGGGTGAAGACCATGCGGCTCGTCTCGTCGAAGCGCGAGCCGATGCGCGACGGCATCACCCTCGCCGACGGCCAGGAGTGGCACCTCTTCCTCAGCCATGTCTGGAGCACGGGCCAGGTTTGTCACTTCCTTGCCCCACCGCTTTGCGTGTGTGGTGAAGGCACCTCACCTGCCTTTCCTTGTGTGTAGGACGCCGTCGCCGTCATCAAGAACGAGCTCCAGCAGCTCCTGCCCGGCTGCGAGATCTTCCTCGACATCGACGACCTCAAAAACATCGGAGAGCTGGAGGCGTACATTCGTCGCTCGCAGGTGGTGCTCTGCTTCCTGTCGCGGGGCTACCTGCGCTCGACGAACTGCCTGCGAGAGGTCCGCGCCGCGCTGGAGATGGGCAAGCCGCTCGTGCTCGTCCACGAGGCAGACCCGGACAAGGGCGGAGGCACGCTCGCCGAGCTGCGGTCCGAGTGCCCCGAGGAGCTGCAGGCCGCCATCTTTGAGGCCGGCTGGCCGATGGCGGTGTGGCATCGGATCGAGGCCTTCCAGCACGTCTCGCTCAAGGTCATCGCCGAGGCGCTACTGCTGAAGACGCCAAAGTACGCGGGCGAGGACGAGCTGCCCCTGTGCATCCCGGGCGAGATCCGAGCCGACGGCCTCGCCTTCCCCAAGCCGGTGATTCTCTGGGCCTCGACGTTGAACGCCGGGGCGCGAGAGCTCGCCAATTCGGTCGCGGCGGCCGTGGCTGGCGGCATCTCGATCACCGACGCAGCGCCCTCGCGCCTATCCGCGCTGCCTCGCTCCTCGCGCTCCTCGCGCCTCTCCTCGCTCCTCCCTTCGCTATCTCGACGCGCGAGAAGAGAAGGCGGCGGCGAGGCGACGCACATGCTGCTCTACCTGAACAGGTTGACGTGGGCCGGCGATGGCGCCGAGGCGCTCGCAGAGCAGGTGCGCGCCGCGCGCCGCGCCAAGCTGCCGATCGTAATGGCGCACGAGAATGACGCCGTCCGCAACGGCTGCATCTTTGGGCACTTTTTCGAGGTAACGCCGCGCGACCTTATTGCCGATGGGCTGTACCACGACCTCGCCATCGGCTGCCACGCGGACCCGCACCGACAGGTGTCGCTCGCCCTGCTCGCAAAGGCGCTCGGCGCGACCAAGCAGACAGCCCAGTCGCGCGTGCATCGCGTCACCGCCCTCGCTCTAACGATCCGCGGCTCCTTGACAAAGACGAAGCCGTCGAATGGCGACGACCTTGTGGAAGCGTCAGCGACGCAGGCCCGCCAGATCGTCTGAGCGGATACATACCCCACTGTAAGTGCGCACTCCCGTGCTTGTGCCGCCTCCCGTATACTTGTGCCGACTCCCGTGCTTGTGCCGCGAGTTTATTGCATTCTAAATTCTTTTTTGTCAATCAAGCTCCAAACTCCATGGATGGATGGAGATAGATGGCGCCACCGCCAGTGTGCGCAGTCAGTGGCTCAACCTACGTCAGTACGCGTTGGCGAGGTGGCCCGCGACGTCATTTGTGTTGCAAAATTCTTTTGCAACGTTAGCAGGAAAATCGAATCAGATGCCATTCCCTGCCGATGCAGATTGCCCATCCGCGTTGCGTTTTCGGGTTCGAAGTTTGCCGCTCCTTTGGCGCGTGACCCCTGCCAGGGCCCACAGCTGCAACACCCAACACGCGCCAGGTTGGTTAGTCAAACGATCTGATGAGCGATGTGATCGAACGCCGTGCCAACCCCCACCGCCTCCTCGCCCGCCTCCGCCTCCTCCGCCATCCCCTTCCTTGCTCCCCCCCCCCCGCCGCCGTTACCTCCCCCACCCCCTTCCTCGCCGTTACCGTCGCCACCTCATCCGTTGCCGCCGACACCGAGCCCTCCGCCTCCTCCGCCGCCTCCCTCTCCACAGCCGTTGTCGCCACCTCCACCATCACCCTCCCCCCCCTCTCCACCACCTCCCTCGCTGCCGCCGCCTCTGCAACCAGGAGAGGGGAGCCCCTTCGGATGGGGGGTGGGGAGATCGGGCGGAGGGGCCCTGAGTGGCGATGTCGGGGGAGAGTGTACGTGTCATGCTTGTGTCTGTGGTGTTTACTAGCTCCGAGTAGAGGGGGCGTTCCGCCGCTAGGGGACACCCAAAGCGCAGAACCAACCCTCGGAGAACCGTGTTTACTTTACGGCCCTTTCCCTGCGAACGCGCACCCCCGCCCCTAGCTAGGGGTCAGGGCTCTCTAGCCCGTAGCCCGATGCCGATCATCCGGCTCGCTGGGCGCGCTTCTTAGCTCCCCGGCCCTGGATGTGAGGTTACTGACTGCACTCCAAGTGCTCCAAGGAGAGTACCACCAACCATCACTCTAGTTACCCCATCTTCACCCATCGAGTGATTTCTTTTTTAGTTTCCCATAAGTAAGGTAGAGACGATCGAGGGGTCCCGTACCATGCGGAATCGACCCTATCCAGTGCTCAAGTGCTCAAGGTAGGTAGGTAGGTAGGTAGGTAGGATTGGTAGGTAGGTAGGGGCAGGGGCCGACGTTTTTGCAGAATTTCATGATGACGTACGGCCAAGCAAGAAGTACACACACCTGGTCGCTGGTGTCGAGCCTGTCTGCTGTGAGAGAGAGTTGTGTTCGTTAAATTATTTTTGAGCCACTTCAAAATTCTTTTTTGCACGACACTGTGTTACCTGTGTTAGTGCCAGTGCGCGCCAGTCCCGTGCCCAGTGTCGTGCGAGGGAGTTTTTTGTAAAATTCTTTTTGCCACGGTGCTCGCGGATTCGACCATCCGCCTTCTGACTGCGAATCCGACGACGGCTTCAGTGAGGACGACGGCTTCTATTATAAGCCGTCGTCCGCGCTTTGCC